TGTGGATCTCTTTCAATCAGCTAGCCAGGAAGTTATCTTCTAAATTAGCAAAAATGCCAGAGTGCCTCAGTTTGTTGAAAGATTCCAAAATGTGTATTTCATCAATTCACGGCATCCTATTTTTCACCAATGGTTTCAGTGAAGTTTGGACTTCTTATCTGGTTCCTGATCACATGCTACCTCTTGAGATGTTTAAGCGCCAACTGTTCTCACTTGGTACAGTGACTCTGTGTATTCCTTCCATCGTCTCTGGATGTTTTCTATTTCACTCAATATGATGCCCATGTTGCTGTTGTTAAGTGTTGTTGAGCGAGTTCCAACTAATAGAGACCCTGTCTAGGGTTTCCTAGGCTGTAATTGTTTTTTGTTTTGTTTTTTTAAGTTTTTTATTGTGAATTGAGTGGCAGTTTGCAGACAAGATCAGCAGTTCTACATTGAACAAATCATGCACTTTGTTTCATGCGAATGACTGGGATCCCCCCCAGGCAACAACAGTTACCCTACTCCCTCCCTGGGGTTCCTAGTTCTACTTTCAGGTCCACGCTGCCCTTTTGATTTGGAATGGTTGACCAGTCCATCATTCATAGTAAGCACACCTTACCAGTGGTGCGGTCCCATCTACCTATCTACTGCTTGGCAGAAAGTCGGGCCATGAGGGTGAGTTCCTCGCCAGCCAAGGCTGTAAATCCTTGCAGGAGCAGAAAGCCTCGTGGTGTAGCTGGTGGGCTTGACCTGCCAACCATGTGGTTCACAGTCCAGCTGTTACCTTACAGAGCCATGGTGTTCCTCCGTTTGCCAATAGAATCTTTCAGTACGGCAAGTGAAGGCTTGATAAATACTAAGCATGTTCTTTCATTTTGGGTTTTCTAGCTCCAGGTCTTTGCACATTTCATTATAATCCTAGTAGTCTCCAGCAGCCCTTTGAAATTTCCTGTTCAGGTGTTTCACTTCATTATTTCTTCCCTTCACTTTAGCCTCTCTACGCGCGAGAGCAAGTTTTAGAGTCTCTTCTGACATCCATTTTGGTCTTTTCTTTCTTTCCTGTCTTTTTAATGACCTTTGGATGTCCTCCCATATGATGTTCTTTATCCCACGTGGGTTTTAATTTAGGATCAGAAATACTTGGGATACAGTTCTTCAGCCCAGACAGTTTTCCCTAAGATGTAGCAGGAACCTTCTAACAAGTCTCTCTCTGGCCCTCGGCCCTTCAGCTTGGCCACTGCCAAGCTCAGGCAGGGGTTAAAGAAACTTCAGCTTGCCCACTATGTGCTGAGAGGACCACCACCCAACAGGAAGCCTTCTGCCCAAAGGCTCTCAGTTCTCTCACTCCAAGGGCTCAGCACGCCCACTGCAGCTACCTTGTACCATGGGCTGGAAGTCCACTGTGCCACCAGCTGTTACCATCTCTGCCGCCCCTTGTCACCCCACGCCATCTCAAGTGTCACAGTTTCCTCTCTGTCTCCTCGGCCTCAGGGCTTCTCAGCATGTCTGCTGGGTCCAGGGGGGTCTCAGCATGTCTCCTGAGTCCAGGAGGGTTCTCAGCAGGTCTCCTGGGTCCAGGGGGTCTCAGCATGTTTTCTGGTTTTAGAAGCTTCTCAGCAGGTCTCCTGTGTCTAGAGGGTTTTCAGCATCTCACGGCCACACACCTACAGCTCTTGTGTTAGGCCCTGTCCTGTCTCACTGCTGTCGGCCTATCTGTGATATGACACCCCCAGAGAGTGTGCACCTCAAGTCCTGTCATCACACTTTTAATTTACACAGTTACCATCTGTCTCCCATACTAAACCATAAGCTCCAAGCAGACAGGATTCAGCCACCCAGCCAAGGTCAGACACACGAAGCCCATCGGCACCTACTGAATGGAACAGAATGGTCTTCCACCAAAGATCTGCCCCAGCATGGGCATCCCCTGGTGTTGGGTGCACAAGTCCACGACCCAACACTTCTGTACCTGAAAGAAGTCAGGCATCTCCCATCCACTGCCATCACCACAGAACAGTGTCTGGTCTACAACCCCTAAAAGGAATGAGAGAAACCAATCACCTGGGAGAAGCGGGACCCAAACCACCAGTCATCATGGAAGGCCAGGAACCAAACTCACCCATCACCCAATCACCTTGAAGAGTCTCTTAGGGAGGCAGGGACCAAACCATCAAACTGGGCTCCAAACGCATGGATCATCATGGAGAGACAGGACCCACACTGAAAGGTGTCCTGCTCACACAGCAGGCTCCTGTTTGCAGGATGTGTGAGCTACACTGTGCCTCCTCTCGGCACATGAGTGACTCTTGTATGTGCACACTGGTGTGCGTGTCTGTGTGTGCTCTTGGGCTTCTGTGTGTACATACATGTATATATGTGTATATATGTGTGTATTCTTGCTTTTCTATGCACACAGTGCTTATGTTTGTGTGTATTGGCATGTGTGCATAATTGTGTGTGTGACGTATATGAGTATACTTGTGTGTGCACAGGTATGTTTGTTCCTGGGTGTGCATGTGTGCATGCATGTGTGCACACAAGTGCATATACATGTGTCCTTGTGTCTGTGTACATCCATGAGCTCTCCTGCGTGTGTGTACATGTGAATATTTAGGTCCTTAGGTGCATGTGTGCACTTGTGTGTACATTTTGTGTGGTCCTGTGTTGTGTGCAGATCTCTGTGCGTGTGTGCATATGCTCTAAATGTGTGTATAAATGCATACACTCGTGTGTACATGAGTACATGGGTGTCCTTGTGTGTGCAGGTGCATGTGTGTAAATACATGTGTGTATACGTGGAGTCCTGGGGTGAGATAAAGCACTGGACTACAAGGCCAATTTGAACCACAAGGTCAGTGGTTCAAACACACCAGCCGCTCCTCAGAAACCCTATAGAGGGTCACCATGAGTCAGACCTGACTCAACAGCACTTAACAACAATACTTGTGTGTAAACATGTATAAATCTTGTGTGTGTGCACTTGTGTGTTCTTTGGTCTGTGTGTGCACACGTGTGGACTGTGTTCATGTTTGTGTGTACATGCAAAAGTACAGGCTTGTACACACCTGTTTGTGCACATATGCAAGTACATGTGTGTTCATTAGTGTGTATGTGTATGTATATATGTACATGGATTTTTTTGTTTGTGTATTACATGCAAGGATGCACACTTCTGTTTATGTGTGTTGTCTTTGTGTACAGTTGTGTATGTATGTGTTCTTGAGCACATGTGTGTGTACTTATGTGCCTTTGTGTGTGGATGTGTACAAGTGTGTATGTGTGTTCTTATGCATGAACATGTATGTGCACGCATTAGTGTGTGTATTGTTATGTTTGGAGTGTGTACGTGTGTACACTTGTGTTTACGTGTGTGTGCACCTCTGTATATAGGTATGTGTCCACATGTACATAGTGTTGTGTTTGTGTGTCGGTGTGTACTCGTGTCTACACATGTGTCTGTGTGTGCGCACACTTGTGTGTGTGTGTTGTGTGTGCATCCACCTGAGGATGTGAACACGTGTGCATGCATGTTCTGTGTTCACTTGTGCACAGGATCTCTGCGGCACGTGCCCCCATCTTCTGCCGTCTCTGTCCTCTTCCTGGACAATTAGCACCGCACCCTTGTCCCTTCGTCTCAGCTTGCTGCTCATTCTGGCAGATGCATTAAGAATCATTCGGGTTTTACAACATAAGTTGGTGGTAAAGTAGTTAAGACAAACTTATTTACCACATTAATTAAATGGTCTATTTAACATGGAATATCAATTCTCTAATCACATCTCAGTTGAACTTGTTTCAATTAACAGCTCTGAGATCTGCTGACAGATCCTACTGTCCCAGGATCACCGAGAGCACGCTCATTACCCGCCAGCGGAGGGAGCGGCGAGGCAGTGCTCCTGAGCGGGCCTGGCCCACTAGGCGGCGATGGGGGAGGCGGCCACTCTTCTCATTAGCTGTGCACTAACGGAGAGGCCGCCTATGAAATGGCAATGAATTCACAGGCAGATCTGTCCTCCTCTCCAGAGGATAGCCTGTCCTCGATCAGAGCTAGTCTCTCCAGACCAAGGCAACAACAGAATTCTGACGCAGTCCAGAGATAGAAATGGCTAAAGTCACACTCTCATAGAGACAAGCAAACACCACAGGCAAAAGGCCCAGTCAAGACCATGAAAACCGCATTCAAACACAAACACTGGGGAACAAAGCCCCTCCTTTACAATCGACTTGCTATTCCTAGCTGACTAGTAACGGACATTCGTCACTTATATTCTCAGAAGTCAGAGCAAAAACGTAAAACACGTTCCAAATCCATCAGGCTCTGACACTTGACCACAGGGACAGAGACAAAGAATGGGATGTCAGCAGAGAGAAACGGCGCGACCTAAACCTCCGCCCCACGAATGCCCCACTGCCATTAATCTCCCCAGAAACAGAGCACTACTCGGTATCCGATGCAGGAACCTGATGAGATGCCGTAGACACACAATGAACAAGAGGTGTTCTTGTCGAAAAGCGTCACCAAGAAAATAGCTGTCATCACAAGCACACTGAACACCGTCATAGCTAAGCACACAGATTGAAGGTGGAGTCTGAAAAGCTGGTATGCCCAGGAGCACTCACTCACTATATTACTCGGCACTGAGAGCATGAGACTCTAACAGTGATGGCAAGTCAGCTACTGTCGAGATGTCAGCCTAGGAAACACCACGGCGCAGTTCTGCCCTGTTCTGTCGGCAGAGTCAGAATCAACTGAACAGATGAGGGTTCGGTGGTGGTTAATGTCAGGAGTCCTGTTGGCACAGTGCTCAGGCGCTCGGCTGACAACCCAGAGACCCTAGGATGCGGCAGCCTGCTTCTGTACAGACGGCAGCCCTGGAAACCCTCTGGGGGCAGGTTCTACCGTGCCCTACAAGGTCACCAAGGGTCGGGATCCACCCCACAGAACAATGACGAATCTGCGCAGGAACAAATCAAGTCCACCGACGTTCTTACTTTTCCTGACTACAGTGTGACCTTACCTATATGTTCGCAAATGAAGACCACGAAGAAAGGTGTGACCAGGTCGTTCATTCCCTGGACATAGCCGCTGGCAGGGTGACGGATTGCCCATATAAACAGTATCCTCTCAAAGATCTGGAAGAAAATCCAACAGGGGATTAGTGAAGCCAGAGAAACATGGGAAAGTTGAAGCTGCTTTCATTCTATTGTGTGAAATACAGGCTACTAATAGTCTTCATTGTATCTAGCTTTAAAATGCAAATGAAAACAAGGATCAATGACAATGCAATGTGCTGGGAAAATTCAAATGATCTTGACTGACAAGCAATGTGTACATTTGGCCCGCCCCTAGGCTCCTGCCTCCATCTGAGCTGGCGCTCGGGAAAGAGGCCCATGGAGAAGTACTCCCCACGGCTGCCAGGGCTATGTCGGGCAGGTCGGCTGAACTTGGCTCTCAGGCTATTTCCACAGATCCACAGAGGAGTGGGCAGATGGCTGCATAGGTGGGTGACTAGGTAATACATGGGGGTTGGTGGATGAATTGGCAGGTGACTAGATAATAACAAGTGGGTAGGGGAATGAGCGGGGGGTGGATATGTAGGAAGGGGAATGGGTGGGAGGGGGAATGAACTGATGGGTGAGTGAGTATGCATGCTCTGAGTTTCTCTCATAAGACAGGTTTTTGTTTTAAAAATCCCTCGAAAAGTATTCCTATCCAAGATGACATAGTTAAACACATCCTCCACCCATGTTCTGGCTACACTGACCCCCCCTCCCCCAACCTCATCTCCTCTGTGCTCTCAGGGGTCTCCACCTCGCACGTCAGCACCATTCCCTCGGTGACAACTCTGCTGATGTCCCCTCCCTCCCTGTGGGCCGCTGGTGCTGAGGAACAAAACTCCAAAAAGAAAGGAATCACAGTGTCCCCTAAAAAGCCGACCTTGCGAAGTCAACTGTTCCTGTGTCCTAGAAGTCCCTCCCACTCTCGGCAGCCAAGGTTCCTAAATACCACCAGGCTGGGTTGTCTAGATCCCTCCAAACCATCATCGACTGTGCTGTTTATAAATGGGGAACAGCGGCCAAGAGAGGTGACACCTTTCAATCCTGGAACACAGTGGACACTGGCAAAACCAGCCCTGGGATCCAACCCCCTGGTCCCCAGGCTGGCCCACTATGTAGGCTCAGCGTCCAGCACCGCACCCGAGACCCAGCAGGCACCAAACAGATCCCTGCAGGGCGAGTAACATGCATGAACGTAGTCACACACGTTTCATTTCAAACCAACAGATTCCTAGAGAGCGCTGAACATTTCAGCGTGATCCAAACACAAAAATCCCTCAACAACGCCGCCCAATTCAAGTGTTTCTTGTGCACAAACAGGAGGAAAGTGAACCAAAGAAACACAAGACTGAGAGGCTGCCATCAGGACAGGGCAGGGCCAGGGCCAGGGGCAGGGGCAGCAGGCCTGCAGAGAGCTGGGCAGCACACACAATCAGGTCTGACCACAAGCATGGTCCTCGGCACCAGAGAGCAGAAGAAACCCCACTGGGCCAAGCAGAAGGGCCAGCTCTGGGCAGACGCCACGTGGAACATTGTGGTCTCGAGGGCGACGTCGAGGCTTCTCAGGGCAGAGTCCACATGACGCCGAAGGTCCACAGCCACCCCATGGAGCATCACACCCACAGAGCAGGCGTCCGGGCACTGTTCTCCGATGAATGCCTAACAGCAGGAGGCCAGGAGCCTGAGTTGGGTTCTGTAGACCCAGGTCCACCGCTCGGTACCTGTCCAGGTGGCTTCCATCGGCAGGACAGGCACCCAGTCCAGGTGGGGATCCCAGAGAAAGAGCTCAGCAGGTCTAGTGCACAGGTGTGGGAGGGGTCTGGGAGCAGGAGCACGAGGAGCTGTCTCCCGTCTGAGAGCCTGGTGGTGCCCCTACAGTATGACCCCCACCCGTTTCCACGTGGCCCCTTGGTCCTCAGGGTCAGCATTTCAGGGGAGATCCTGAGCACTCTGTAGAGCTGAGAGGAGGAGTCAGTGGTCCAGCTCTCTGCCGTCTTCACCCTGTGCCCCCCTCCTCTGCTCTCCCAGTCCCAGGTCACATGGTTCCAGGTCAGAGGTGGCCCTAGGTCAAATGGTCCCGGGTCGGAGGTTCCGGGCCAGCTGTGATGCCTGGGGCTGCCCACCATGCTGGTCTCTCTGACAGTCGTTTCCTCTGCTAACCAGCTGACTTTTGGACCCATGTTTCCTCCATTGAGGGATGCCCCACACCCAGCTCTTCAGATGCCCCCGCATGCCTGAGGAGGGAAACAGACTAAGAAGTCTGAATTACCTCTGCTGAGGGGAAGGGGAGATGGTGACACCAGCAGAGAGGAAGTGAGCTCCACACCCCACAATAAAGCAGAAGTTGCAATAAAGGAAGTTGTGTGGATTTTTATAAAAGTTATGTTTACGCTGTAGTCTACTGTGTGAGCAATAGCATGATGGAAAAGTTGGGAATCTGGCGACAATGACAAAATGGAGGAAGTACAAACTGGCAGAACAGCGCTGATGGGTGTTGGGTGTGCTTGACGCAGCATTACCATGGCCTTCCATTTGTAAGAACGTGGTATCCACAAAACGCAATGACGCTAAGCTGGGTAACACGAGACGCACCGGTACCACACATAGGGTGATCCTCGTTCAGGAAAACACACAGACTTGGTTCCATAAATGTGGAACTTAAACATTTTCTCCTCGAAAAGACTGCCAAGCCACAGTCCCGGATCTGGAAAAGTGAACAAACGCCAATCCCAGGCCAGGTTCAGCACACAGGTTCCCACCTCGCTGAGGAGCAGGGGAGAAGCGACCTCCAGGCTGCACTGACACACAGCAGGGCAGAGCCTCCACACACCACCTGCCCACGTCACACGCCCATCACTACGAAGGGGCCCATGCCTCCACTCAGCATCCTTGAAGCCACAACTTGTCTTCCTTTGGGCTGGAGAGGGAAAGGATGGACAATATTGTCTCCTGACTTCCTGAAGCCCATCCACTGGTGGGCCTCATTGCTGTGTGGGGCACATGGACCAGCTAATGGGGGCCTAGGCCCTGCACACCATCTCCACATGCTTATCGCTGTGTGTGAAAAAGACCACCACCCATGGCACGTGGAAAACGCAGAGCCACTTCCTGCCAGGAGCTTTCTCCAGGGATCACACAGCACTCATCACCAGCTGCCCAGCTACAGTCTACAGGGGTACAGGCAATGGCACGGCTCAGTCCCCCACGCTGCTACCTCAGAAATACCTCACATTCATCTTCTCACCCCTCAGGACGCTACAAGTCCAAAGTCACGATCACATTTCCCAAGCGTGTGAGGCAGTCTCACCGTGCTCACTTCTGAGGAGCCTGTATCATGTGCCGTCAGTCTTCCCTGACACCATGGTTCCAATTCATCCTTCTTAGTGGCCGTCCAGCTCTCACATGCATCTGAGGCTCCTGAGTTAGTCTCCCTTATTACACAACAGGCCCCAGCACAACCTTCTGAGTTGCACTCAGCTCCTTGTCACTTTCAAGAAGGACATCAAAGACTCGAGTTACATGTCCCCTTCTTAGTACCTTGTCACCGAACATCAAGCCACCGTCCCAGGGAAGCATGTGTGCCTCTAAGCACTGGCCGGGTGGCTCTGAGTGGGGGACTCCTGTGCTCAGTCATTTGATCACACACCACAAGAGCCACTGCAGACAAAGGCGCCGTCCCTCCTGCAGGGACCAGCCACAGGGGGCCTCCGCTCTGCATCAAAGAACACATTTAGCCATTTGGAATGTTCTGTTCCAGGGCCGGCAAAAAAATACCATAAACAGCGGATTTCTGAGCAAGCATTTTCAAAGCCTCACGCTAAGATCCTGGAAGAGGCACAACTCCAGCGCCCACTCCCCTCTCCTTCTGCATCCCCGATGTCGGGGCCGACTGGCTGCCCAGAGGCGCCTCCACCACCTCCCCAGCATCTCCGCTGCAAAGGGAACGAGGAGAGGACTTTCAGGGAAGGAAGTCGGACAAAGTGGCCCCTGTGTGCTGCTGCTTCCTGTCCAGCTGAGGGCGGCAGGGGGAAAGACTCCCACTCATGAGGCCCCCGCCCCCAGGATACCATGGGGTTCCTCAGAACACTCTGACGCAGACCCAAGGTCAGAGCAGCAGCAACGGCTGGGCAGGGACTGAAACTGCCCAGTGGTCCAGCTCTCTGCCATCTTCACCCCCACCCCAAGTGGAGCGTGGGGAGCCTACGGGTGGCTGGTGAGGTCTTCTAGGGAGAAATGCTGCACACACAGTGCGGCACTCATCAGCTGCCAGTGGAGAAAGCCCTGGCCGTCTGTTCCCAGGAGTCCCTGTGAGACAGTCCTGCTCTGTCATACCCGGTGAGGGGCCGCCAGGAGTCAGAATGCACCAGCGAACCCCCTACCCTGCCACCCGGGGGGAAGCCCTGTGACAGGGGCCATTCCTCACAGGCTGACCAGAAGGAAACAGAGGCCTCACAGATCAGGAACCCAGGCTGAACTTGAAATCTGGGGTCACTCCACACAGTGCCACTGTGCACTGCTTACTGAAAGGTGGACGGTTCAAACCCAGCAGCAGCTGCACAGGAGAAAGATGAGACCGTCTGCTCCTGTGAGGACGGAGAGCCTCAGCAACCCTGTGGATTCCGTGCCCATTTCAGCATCCAGAATGGAAACATGAGGACCGTCTTCCACAGACGGATCTCCTAGGGGCTCAACGACGCCTGCTGGGGGAGCTGTCTCCATGTGTAAACGCCATGGAGATATTTCCACCACATGGCCACACAAACGGTAGGCTCAGGCTTGTGAGGAAGTGGACAAGCTCAAACATACGAAAAAGCGAGGTGGATGGAAATGGAAAGTTGAACCTCTGATCACTTACGAAAAGAAATAATTAAAAGGCTCTGACTTCAGGGCTTTGAGAACATCCTAATTCTGCCACGTGCACCAACACCACAACTTTGTGGCACATGGGGCACTGGAGAGGTGATCCCTGGGACAGGAGCAACCATCAAAGGGTCTACAGCTCTCCAGACCCAAGAGCAAGAGAGGCATCAGGAAGGAGCAAGTAATTCACTTTCCCGTTCCTACAACAAGATTCA